CACCCCGCCGCCGGCCCAGGCCCGCACTCACCGTGACCGTCACCTCGTCGTCGTGCAGGATGAGGGCCGAGTAGATGCAGGCGAGCTCCGAGACGGAGGCCATGATGCGGGCGAGTGCTGAGCGGACGCTGCCGAACGCGGTGCTAGTCGCCGGGTGAAGTGAGAAGCTCACCCCAACGCGGCCTTAGCTTCCTCGGAAGAACCGAGCACCTTAGCGGCAGCTGAGGAAAGGGAGTCCCGCGCCTGCGCACGGTGTCTTATACTGGTCACGCGGACCAATCGGCGCCCGCGCCTGGCGGAAGAGGCGGAGCGAGAAGCTCCTGCGATGACCACCAGGGCGCCTGCGCACAAAGCGTGACTGGCTTGTTAGCGAGTTCAAAAAGTTGGTAGGTCCGCCCTTGTAGTGGCGTCTTCTCTTGGTTCAGCTGAAACTCAGGGCTCATGAACAGTAAAAATATTTGTAGGAAAAAGTTATCTAGGTAAATGGACGTCACTCCCACATACTGTATCCCATGTAACAGTATTTAGGCATTTAATGACGTCGGCAGCCTCCCCCAGCTGGCTGTGACCACTTGGAGCGCAGGAGCTAAATTTCAGCCCGGAGGGCTCGCTTGCTTAGCGCAGCGTCTCGGATAAAATAAGCGATTTAAGAGGAAGATAGAAGCTTGTTCGGAGAGCAGTAGCATTTGAGCGCCTATATCCCAGGGATTGAGCCACACTCTACAAGGATTCATTTAATCCCGACACAGCCTAAGAGGTAAGCAACTATTATTTTAAGTACAGAAGATCTGTTAAGAATTTAAGGAAACTTTCCACTTCAATTTCTTTTTCTTTCTCTTTTTTTCTTTTCTTTTCTTTTCTTTTCTTTTCTTTTTTTCTTTTTTTTTATAACTCAGGCATCCTATCCTGTGTTAGGGTGGAAATTGTCTAAAACTTGCCCTTAAAATGTTCAAGACATCTTGATGCACCTGCTGCCTGTGTGGGTGCTGAATTGCAATCGTGTATCTTTTGAAGCTTAATAAAATTGGTATTGGATTCTATATTTAGTTTAAATTTTTTTTGAGGTATAATTGACATAACATTTTTATTTCAGGTGTATACCATAATTGATATTTGTATATGTTGCAAGATGAAAACAGGAAGTCTAGTTAATAGTTAACATCCATCACCATACACAATTACCACTTTTAAGGTCTACTCTTAGCAACTTTTAAGGAGGAAATAATATATTAATAACGATAGTCACCACGTTGTACATTACATCTAGTGACTTATAACTGAAGGTTTGTAACTTTTGACCCCTTTCACCCATTCCATCCATCCCTCCCTCTGGCAACCATCAATCTGTGTTCTGGATATAGGAGTTTGGTTTGTTTATTTTTGTTTGTTGTGGGATCCCACATATAAGTGAGATCATACAGTAGTCTTTCTCTGACTTATTTTACACAGTATAATGCCCTCAAGGCCCACCCATTTGTCTCAGATGGCAAGATGTTATACTTTTTTACAGGTGAGTAATATTCCTCTGTGGGTGACATTTACTTTATCCATTCACTTTGGTTGTTTCCATGTCTTGGCTATTGTAAATAATGCTGCTATGAA